GGTTTTTTTCTCATGAAATTCAAAAAGGGCATCAAAGCGGAGCTGACTAAAAGGTGTTGGTGTCCCCATCTGTAAAAAAGCTCACATTTAATGTCCTACAAGTTGATTTAGAGCTGGCGAAGCCAATTAGCCTTCCCCTTTGCGAACAGATCAGACTAAAATAAACTTCAATTAAATGATAAAGCGCTACGCCAAAGGCCTGAACCTGCCCTGAGAACGATTTCCGCAGAGACACGTTGAACGAGCAATTTTCCTAGTAATGCGGGCTCGTTGCAGGGTAAAAATCGCACCCGCAAGCTCCCCACTCATGCTTCCATAGCTACGCCTACCAGAGGCAGAAGTTATAAATCGACCCACTACAGCAAAAACAGATCATCCCCTAACTCCACCTGCGCCTCTAGGCAAGGTTCAGTGGCTTAGGCTTAGACTGCTATTCTTTCCCCTATCCTCCACCTAGGATTGAACCATGTCGACTCCTTACCAAATGACTAAAAGCACGTTAGTTAGCTCAGTGGAGGAAATCCATATGAGCTTATAAAACACTACTTCAACTCAAAATGTTTTAAATAGCCATACAGAAAGCATGAGTAGAAGGAAGCCCACTAGGTCAGCCTTTTGCAAACCTCTGCTACCTTCTCGGTCCTGTTTTTCTTAAGTAGTGTTTACTCTTCTGACGCGAAAAATTCAATTTACTTCAAACGGCTACAAAAACAAAGTCAACTTAGGCTCATTTGGCTTCTGAATAAGCTGTTTCAAACCTTCACACTTTCAATAGAACAGGATGTTTATAAGAATGTACCGTGATCGTGAGAAAAGAATTAGCGGTGGGTATAAAGTCTTGTTGTTCTCATTAAAAATATACGTCAGGACCAAGAACGTTTGAAGAAATCTGATTTCCACATGCCAACGTAAGAGTAGTCGCATGAAGAACAGGATTATTTTTTCTAAAAATCCCAGTCAAACTTAGTCAAATTCCCACATAGAGCCAGGTCAGTTATACGACTCATTGCTGTGGAGGCACCCTACAAGTTGAAGAAAACATAATATTCTTCAGTGACACCTATTTACCGAAGAGAGCCTAAGGAGGCTACTCTCTTCAGTAGGGAGCGCTATCTAATGATGATGTGGCTATGAACGATCCATTATTTCTATCGTGTACTATTTAATTTCCTGCACTCCTGGTAGTATTCACAAACCTTCATATTGACACCCCAAATTTCTATAAACACGGCAGTGGCGTTTAAACCAGTAAACACCTAAAGGGGCCTAAACTACTGATCAACTTAACAGCTAGGAAGCAGATTATTTAGTAAAAAAGAAAACAGTGAGATGCGACCGCATTAGTTCCGGGTTTGTTCCTTTTGAATTATTTCAAGGATGTCATAATAGCTCTGATTGCAGCCATTCATACCACCACGTGTCTAGCCATCGAGAACAACGCAATCGAAAACAAAGAGGAAACGAATAAGAGAGGGGTTGGAGGAGGTGAGAGGAAACTGGACGAAAATATCATGGAGCCAAGACCATTCGGATTATGAAGGTTGAAACTTCGACTGGTCCGATTCCCTTCTTACCAGAACAAATGATACAACTTCGATCACCAAATTTTCGGAACCAGCGCCCAGGACTACGCGAGCACTACAACTTTCGCACAGGGCTCTAAACGAGGAGCGTTAAGCATAAACAGAGCATTTGATGGCGTTTAAGGTTTCGGAAACATCAACCTGTTACTTTTGATCGATAAACAACAACAATAGTAAATAGTGTCTAGACGAATAAGAGAGGGATTCATGAAGCCATCTAACAAGTAATGTTCCTTATCAAATAACACATCACATATCTGTACCGGAACAAATAAAGGATGAGACTGATAAGAGACGAGGAGGAAGGAGGAATTGCTGACGCATGCAAATATTCCCTTTCGCTAATATTAAGTAACAATTTAGCAAGTTCTACTAGTCAGAATTTAGTGCAGCCTAATCTCAGAGAGTTCTCGGTGGGAGATGATGCATTAACCAGTAGGGTCCTGCCGCCTGCCACTTACGGAACTTTTGCTATCAAAATCATGCAGTGACAACCAAACCTTTCACCCACAGAATCGATGGAATACAACAAAGCCTAGTGGTGACGATAAGTACATATCTATAAATCGACGTAAACGTCGGCGAATATAAGTCTTCGAGCTAGGAATTCAGATTATGAGAATCTCCTAGGCTACGCGATAGACACTCAGAACGATTAGTCAAACATTCCTACATAAAGGACATTGAGTGCAAAAAGTTGGTAAAAGGAATGTAAAGCAGATATCCAAAAGAGTCATCCTAAAGCAAAGGAACTGGAAGAAAATCGCAAGTCGAGTGCAGAGAGGAAAACAAAAGAGAGGCGATGTTGCCACTAACATTTCCCCACTAATGGTGAGGTTCGCTAAGTAGGTAGGTTCAAATAGCAAGTTTTTCTTCCTTGCATGACTGATGCGAATGAACCATGACAACATATGGCCACTTACTACACGAACCATTCAGCAAGAAACGACGAACACTTTGGAATAAAGAATAGTGGGTTAAGTCTGTGGGTAAATCAATCCCGTTCCCAGGGTGCACCTCCGCATTCGACTTGCATTCGGAATCACAGAGGTTCCTTGGATGCCTATGGTCCTACCTCTCTGCGGTAGCAACAGATGTGCAAGCCAGCGCTTTTGCCTCCTAGCAGAGACCAATGAACTAGAATCGACCAAAAAGGGACGCAAGGCTTGGTTGGCCTGGACATGGATTGGCCCGAGACTAGATTCCCGGAGCAGTCGTGGGTGATAGTGGGCAACTTGCGACTACATCACCTCCGCCCCGAAATTACTGTCAGCAGGCGAGTGTTATAGACTCTTGTATCGAAATAGTGCATTGAAGGAGATTGCTGTGTTAGATAAATTGATGGCCATTTCGAATGTAGGACTAAGATGTGGCAATCACCCAATCAACTCATAAAAACCGCCTCCGTGCATGCCTGTTAGATTACCGCCACTAGACTAATGGAGTTCGTTAACAGATTGGCCACCCCTGGACAAATCATCCCACAAAAAAGGAAATTGTCTCAGCGGCCAATGTGCATGTATGTATTCAAAATGTGGAAAAGGGCATCTACAAGAGAGAAAAATGATAACAATCAAATAAAGTGCCCTCTCTCACTATAATTCAATTGATCGCAAAAAGGAGAAAGCAGAATACTGAAGAAGAACGTTGCCAGGGAACGACGCATTACCAATTAGGTATTTCCTGTTTCCATCAGTTAACGTCGAGCGAGGAAAAGAGTTCACAAAAAAATGAGGACACACTAAATTAAAACGACTCTCTTGAAAGTAATTCTACCATTTTTTGAAGGGAAAAATCCCCATTATCTTTCTTACACGGAAAAATTCCCTTCGTTATAATGGGAAGCTCTCGCTGAGACTTCTTTCCAGAAAGGGAATGCAGAACTAGTGACCGGAATTACATGATTCACTTAACAATTCCGTTTAGAAGGTAAATACATGGCTGGGTCTGATATCTTCTCCCCGAAAACGGCGTCGCGTTCGCCGTACAAGATCGCGCGCCGTGGGAATTCGAGGAGAAGTTCCGACATCCAAACATGGCCTACGTTCATTCCTCGGAGACTTTTAAGGAAAAAAGGGCAGTTTCTCAATGAAAGAATCGCACAATAACCCTCTTAAAAAGTTATAATTATAAGTACGCCATAAAATAATTCGGTCTGTGGTAAGGAATCAGCCATTGAAGCTACTTCCACAGAAAACAAGGTAAAAGAGTCACGAACTAGTTGAAAGCAGATTTCGAAGTGTCATAGGTAGCTATTCCTAATTAGCAGGCCATATGAGAAAACTGAGAAAACCAGGAGGAAAAAACGTCAACATCAAAATAGGCGCGACAATTTTCAAATTCAGCTGTGCCGTTTCTGCTCTCCACTACAGCAATGTCAGCAGGCAACTTTCTGGTTTGTCTTCGAATGGTTCGGTCGGACGGTATAGACAGTGGCTCATATTTGGAAAGTGAGTTGCGGGGGCATATGTTTGACTGGCATACGCGCTTTTCAAACTTTTACGCATCGAAAGTTTCATCCGCGCTAGATTTCTCAGAATTGGTAAACAAATCACGCGATGAAAGTAATTACGCGACAGAAGCCGATGCCTCGTGAAACTACCAAGTGGAATGGAGAAAAACTAGGAAAAGGACATTAACGAAAATTTGCTATACAAAAAGACATTCTAGGCATCTATTCAGAAGCTTTTTACCTCAGTCAAACAGAACGGACTACTGCTTTCTGTGGACAAAGCCTTCTTTTACTCTGACGCATTCTCACTCATAGAATGTTCGCAAACACAGGATCAGAAAACACTTGAATACACGACAGAAACACATTTAACACGGTATGCCCGAATCCAAAATGTCGTTTACCTCGTTAAGCTGGTTCTTATCGAATATCAGGGAAAACACTCCCTTGATTGTTGAAAACCTTGAGTTTTTACCTCCTCGGAGGCTTTTCAGAACCAAAACGAGCACTCTGCCAGAACAGTGTGAAAGGGTCCTAAATAATCGTCGCGACACAGCTCCCAAAATACATCTACTTTTTTATTATGGATTCGCTGATTTAGACGTTAAACCACTACACCTGTTTATGGCAAATGTTTAGCACCCGATGGCAATATTTCAGAGTTCCGAAAACTCACTTGAGGTCAACATTAAAACTGTTATCCTCATTAAAGGATAGAGGATAAAGTCTTGGGGCGTTAATCAATCCCTTTAGAGTGATGTGCCCACGCATTCGACTTCCATTCAGAATCCCTATCCGTTAGCCATAATTTACGTCAGGTTTCATGACTAAAGAGGTAGGAGCAATGTACCACAAATGTCCCCCATCTAGATCCTATGATATTACCTCCCGATCCGTAGATAAAAAGAGTGGGGACAATCTTATATGAGAAAAAAACGTCTAGTCAACTGGTATTCCCAGTGTTTCTAAACAAACTGAGCGATGGCATCACCATACACTTAATCGAAATACGCATTACTAGAGAAAAGAGACTGGTTTCACGAGTGGCGACTAAAGAATAGTAAATCACAAAGGTTCACTGGAAAGCTCATTCACCGCAAAAGACTACTATCTAGTCCACCAAAACGCAATTACTGCATTGTTATAAAAACATCAAGACGTGACGAGAAAATATGGCCAGACCGAACCAATAAAGCATTGCAGAGTCACTGGACTAGCCTACACCGGTTTAACTGAATGGAGGGGAAAGTCCAAGTTGAAACAATCATGTGCAGCCTAATGGGAAAGATACTCCAGAAGAAAGAGGCTAGGAAGGCTAGAGAACCGTAAATAATTGAGAAGAGTGGCATTGAAAGAATGACCTTTACAATAAGCTATAAGTATGCCGCTCTATGCGTAAGACGGAGCTCTTAAGTTCATTTCACCACAAGATCTGTCAACTGTACCTCTTGTTATTGCCTCAGGCTCAGAATTCAGGAGAAAAAGTCATAAAAAGCTGTAATTGACGCAGTTGGCTACTAGCCACCTCCTCAGGGACCAAAGTTCTGCGCTAGACCTATTTCTGTTGTATTTTAGGTAAATTATAGAGGAATGAGCAGCACACATGCTCTGCTCCACCATACTAACGCAAAAACAGAGCCTCTGACAACGACGAAAGTGCAAGTAAGAAATGCCCGATGAGCTTTTATTGAAATTCTCGAAAGTGGTAAACAAACATGTAGGAATGAGCGACGCTTACCTCCTGTTGCTTCATGTTCATCATTGGCACTGCTCTGCGAAACGGTTTTCTTCCGTTTTGGAAGAAATAATGAAAGTTTCTGCCTTCCAAGAGCTCCTGTTCCTCCAACAGAAGAAGAAAATGGAGCGGCATTAGGTACAGTACCGGTTGTGGAGTCACTACTATGCGAGGCTGTAGGAGATGGTTGCACATGCTGAAAATTACCGTAATGAGGACAGGGAGAGTAAAACAGATAGTCAACGCAAAAATTGTCATCGAACATTTCTTCATATCTAGAGGAGTAGAGCAACTGTGAGACTCGAACACAGGGAAGTATTCCCTATTCTCATCTCATCAACTCCAAATTTCAGTTGATTATTTTCAAATTGGAGGAAGGACGCTCTTTTCGGATGCCATGTCTCGTACAATATTCCAGCTACTGATAACCAATTGTAGTAGCGAAGAAGGACGCGAAGTTTCTTTGGTATGCCAACTCTTGTACAATATTTCAGTTACTTATAAACAAGTTGTACTATTTAAGTTATACTAAAACATTTTTTCTCAAAGAAAAAAGCCATTACTATAGGGCACCGTGTATATTGAATCAACCCATTCTCATTCAATAAAAGATTTGTAAATTGATAAAGAGAACGCCTGGGCTGATAAAATTAAAGGAGTAGAGGCTAATGTAGGGCAGTTCATAAATATCCTGACTCGGGAGGGGAGGAGGAGGGGGGGGGGGGGGGGGGGGGTTGAAACGGATTGATGAGGTCGTCATCGGCAGTGTACTTAATATTCCAGAGCCACAGCTGAGGAAGGAATAGGAGCTCGTGCCGCGGATGCAGCTGCAGATCGTTGTTTCATAGCACTATGACCAGAAACACACTAGCCCCCGCAGATTATCAAGCACTGAGAGCGTACATTGGTCATATGAAGTGTACCTTGTCTGGATCGTAAGCGCGTATGTATGTATCTTTGGCCAGAGTTGATCATTCCTAACGTTTTTTGCACTTAATGCTACTAAATAGGCAGCAAGTCCACCTCCTTCACGGTTGAGGCTGATCGTTACCCATGCAACATGGAAAGTTCCCGAGAAGTAGAAACCCTCCATGTTATACGTAAATTTCCGTCAGAAAAAGCGAGAGGAGCTGGCGAGCACTACTTCCCTTACACATAGCTCATCTTGTGGGAAAAAGTATAATGAAAGTAGGGTGACGAGAAAGTACTGATCGGTGGCAGACGAAAAGGATCATAAGAGAAAGGGTTAATTCGACATCAGCTTAATACCTGCGACTCTTTGTTGTCATTCCACGCGTCAAGCGTATCCATAGATAGTAACCCATCTGCAGTCGGTGGAGCAGGAGGAGGGTTGGATGGCACGACTCCTGACGAACAACTTGAAGACGGCATTGAACCGCTTGGCCGGCGATGTATCTCATCATCAGATAAAACACAGAACTCGGCTGGCTCTTCAAATACGGCAGGTTCTACAATAGAAAAGGTTTTTAAGCAAATGCAAAAAACAAGCTCGAATTGAATAACTCTCTATGGATTTGAATTGAAACCGGGCAAATTAAGAGGTCCTTACGCGGTCTTTCGGCTCCAGTACCCTTAGTTCGAACAAAGCGTGCGATCATTTCATCGACACTCAACTGTTGCAAAGATTCTCGAAATTGCCCTGCTACCTTAAAAATTCCTTACTAGTTTTGGAAGAAATCTGATCAATGCGAGTGAGCCTTAAAAACAAACTTGCTGAGAAGCGCAAGCAGCCTCCTGTTGATGCCCGGCGTACATCAGCAAGAATTGCTGAAGAGCAGCAAAATGCGATCTGCAAAGCAAATCAGCGTGTCGAATTCTAAAAAGAGAGAATTTAAAGAGGATTACCTGTCGTGAGCCTGAAACATCTTACAGGCACGTTCCATCTTTTCTTCAAAATCGCTACGTACCGTCTCATACTTATCAACGTATGAACGATATTCTTCTCTGGATTTGAACATCTTCGATTCCATCTGAACAAACTGTTCAATGAAACTCGTCAAGTTGTCTTCCCTCCCCTTCCCAAAAGCACTCCAGTGTTATTGGAAGGAGTACAACGTAATATTTTCCCATTTGGGAGCAACTGGTGAGCATCGTAGCTTGTATGGAAATTGACTACGTGATTTGCATAATTTTTCAAACAGCTGAAGGTTCCGCATTGTACTGAGGTAAACCCAAATTAGCGGTTTCTTTACATACAAAAGCACAATTCTCTCTAGGTAAATCGCTTTGCAAAATTACCTTCTTAAAAACCTTACATGCCTCACTTTTTCATAAGTAACTAGAGCGAATTCTGCAAGATAGAGCTTATGGTAAGACATTGCTTGTCATCAACTTCGAATTACAAAACCCATTTTTATTTAATCGCTAAATTTTAAATTTGATATGACCATAAAAAGCGTGCCCGTGCATGTGAGTTCTCCTATTGAGACTACGATGTGTAGACGATCAACTAAAAAGCACGGTTTTCCCGAAAAATAAGTTGACTGAACGTGAAAATACCTTCGCAATCTCTTTCGGATTGACATTCGATTCCTTCTTGAGTTTTTCCAGTTCGGCACATCGAGCAAAGTACGTTTCCTTTGACTGTAAAAGGGATTAATTGAAAACATCGTACATAATACACTGAGAGGATTATGATAAAAATTCAAATACTTCCTTTCAAGTGAGCTAGTATAATCAGTGTCAAGCTGTTCACCTTTTGTAGGCAAGTAGTTGTAGTTTGCATCAAATTGACAGCATCCAAGATATCCTGCTGTTTTGCTTCCTTTCGAGCTTTCGTAAGATCTTCCTTGTATTTAGCAACCTCCTTAGCCAAATCCTTCAATAAAGCCATATATATGGGGTGTTATGTGCGTAGAATGTGCTCCGATTAAAGTCCTACCTGTAGATTTTTCACCAACATTGTATGAATTTCCGAAAGGAGTTCCAGGGTTCCTCGCGCCAGCGTCCATCCAGAATCCAGGCTTGATCCATTTGACACGAATGTTGATACCTAAAAAGATTTCAATATGCATGAGCTACAAGGTAAAAAAGAACATATTCATGATGAGATATGGGAAGCACAGAAATAATGNCAAGCAGTGGTTCGATAACAGAACACTCCTCTACAAAAGACTTGCTTAGTCGATTTTTTTCAAGGCGACAGGAAGCCAAGAGTCTTTTGAATCTTTTCTTGGAGATTAAGGACATCAAAATAATGAGAAACTCACTCGATTCATACTTTTGGTGAACATTTTACCATATTCCTCTTCCATAGCCAGACGTTCCTTGAGAAACTGTCCTATCTCATTTACAGTTTCCTCACCGTGTTTCATATTCTCGTATAATACATGAAAACCAAGATGTTTTTCACCCTAAATGCAAGAAAAACTTTTAATAATGGCAAAACAGCAATAAAAGCAGCACCACAAATACACCTAGATACCTAGAAAACAGCCAAATGCTAGAAAAAACTGTAACTTAATCACAGACAAATAATTCTTACCCAAAAATGATTCTCATAATCGTACTTCATGATATCAGCAGCCATTGTAATACGATTTAAAGACTATTCCACATGAAGCACTGATTAACTGTAAAAACTCCAAGTAAAGAAGTTCAAAAGTACTTGCCAGTGATCGATAACAATAAATAGGTAGCACGATTCCCGGAACACAAAATTGGCTCTCAGCCGAAGAAATACAAAAGTATAATCAAGTAAAACAGGCCACTTTATAACGGCGATCATTCCATTTAGTCCAAGAAACATCATAGCCGTATGGGAACTTGTCTGTCACACCATTATACAAACACATCAAAGTAATACTCAGGTAAAAACGCATAAGAATATGGAATACGAAGTAAACAGCGTACGCAAGCGCTGAAACAACGAAGGCTGATAGGATAATCGCTGATCCAAATCCATTTTAGCTGCCAATTATATTAGTCCGTAATTGCGTAGTTACAGAACACCGTATGAACGGTGACAAAAAAAATCGCCCAAAAAACAAAGTGCAAAATTCTTCGCGGTAGTCAAGCGTTTACCAACTCCTTTTTACTAGGTGTCAATTTCGAAAGCGGTTCAAGATTTAATTTAAAATTTGGGCGTAGGGTGGTGTAGTTGCAAGTGGGGCACTATCTCACACGCACAGTCACGGGTTCGAATCTCGGCTCGATATCCACCTAGGCCAACCAAGCTTTCTATCCCTCCGGAGTTGGCGAATTGCCAACGCAAGTCATTGTATAGGCCACATACGCATTCATGCGCCACTACGATTCCGAATAGAAGTCGTATGCAGGGCGCATCCCTCGGACACGATTGATTAGTGTCCAAAGGCTATGTCCTTCTGTCCATATATCATTACATTATGATTTCATCTTATACCGCTCTATTGTATTGTACTATGCTATACAATTTTTTAATAGTATCTGAAAATTTCGGATGTAGTATTAACGAATCGACGTCTAAAATTCAGGAAGCTACAGTACAATCTGATGACTTCATATGTAACGAATCCGAATTTGATTGAGCTATGGGCAAAGAAACTTCCCAATTAGGGACGTCGCCCTCAATTCTCACTATAGTCCCTGGCACCTATTATCGTCCGAAATGTCTCAGGAATCATGCTGTGACTTTGAAAAGGAACAAAAAATTGGGAACCTCCGTAGAAGTGCATTAATCTTACCCTAAAGCGACAAACTAGTTAGTTTACTATGCCATCGGTTTCAGGAGGTCAAATTTAACCACCTTTTCCCCTCATCAGAACCACCTTACAGGGGTTGAGGATTTCCCACAATACATATGTCTCAACCCTCGCACAACAGGCTGTTCACCAATGACGGATAGGCTTTGGTGAAATGGTTATGATAAATAATGGCAATTTAAGAAAGTCAAAAAGCTGGTACTCAGGTATACATAGGCAGTGGTCCACCACATTGTCGGTATGAGTTGTTCAACGAGCTGGAGGTACCGTAAAAGTAGTTATAGTAAATTAGTATAGAATCTCATGGAACCATGGGTGGCTCACGGAGTTGTGGGATGCTTTTTCAGCTCTCGGTGGGTATGAAATGCTGTTGGCCTCCGAATCTGGGCGCAGTCCTGCAGCGGAACACGGTAGGGGGGGGGGGGGGGGGGGGGGGGTAGGTAGCATCCTATCGCCATACTGCAACTTCAAAAAAGACCTTCTTGCCTTCGTTGGTTGGTGAAAAACCCGAAATGATAAATAGGTTGCTACCAAAATGTTACATGCTTACTATGGGGGAGTCTTGTGACTGAAAACAATAAATAACGAAACAACGCGATAGAGGACCGACGCGACGTCCTGAGATTGATTACAGATGGCCGCCTCAGGGTAAGATCTGGGTCCCTTTTTGGTGAACCTCCCTCCCCTTCTCGGGGTGGTTCTGGTTCGTTTTACTGGTAGGCATATACATATGTATTTGTTGTAACTGACTAGACAATGAGGAAGTGGTGTAGTGGAAAGCGGCGCAATATTACCCACGCTCGTTCCGGGGATCGAAACGATCAGGCTAACGAGAATAAAGGCACCGGCCGTAACGGTAGCCTGTTGGATAGCTGATACATGTCTTTTATTCTATCCTGCCTGGGAGGATAGAAGCCTCGATTTGTACATCGGCTGGCCATCGGAATACAATTTATAGGCTACAAAGCATTCGAGACGTTCGCACAATCCGAGCTGAAGCCAAATGGGGGAAGGAGGGGGAGCACTATCCTTCACCTACTCAATACAAAGCTTACTATATAGAACTGTTGTAATCTTGTGTCCGAAGAAGCCAGAGCTCAGAAGGGTTCAAGATCTCCGAAAACGTTAATTTAAAAAAAGATTTCTGATGAATTTGCAAAACTCGAATCGATTGTTTTGATGAGTTCTAAAGAAATTTCCCATGCCACATCTCGTTTCCCTTTCCCTTTCCCACACTAAAAACCAGTAATTTAAGAGATAACACCTCCTACTGGCTGTCTTTCCTTAAAAACAAAATTATTGAACAACTTTGCTACCGATCCTTTCTCAAGGGTCTCCCACTCTCTCAACCATCACGTGTTCATTCGACCTTTACTGAATTGTTATTTAATAACAAAGTCTTTGATACAGCCAATTGAGCGGAGCTATTTAAAGCTGAATAAGCCACCTTGAAAGTCTGGCCCAGCCCTCTTCTACAAGCAAAGGCTAAGAACGCACTTGAAAATTCAATCGGCTAGAAATGTAAGAAAAGTCCTCTTGAATTTCATGTTGTTAGAGAAGGCTGAGAAAACATAAACAAAATAGCAACAGCTTGAAATCACTGAATCTGGAAGAGGAACAGAGTTTTGTCCAAAAATTGCTTGAAAATCTGGAAAGCCATCGATCTAGAGAGAAAACCCGTCGGGGCAATGGGTTGTGCCAAAAGGGCGACAGAGAGCATGACGGTCGACTGGCANTACTGAATTGTTATTTAATAACAAAGTCTTTGATACAGGCAATTGAGCGGAGCTATTTAAAGCTGAATAAGCCACCTTGGAAGTCTGGCCCAGCCTTCTTCTATAATACAAGCATAGGCTAAGGCTCTTGAAAATTCAATTGGCCAGAAATGTAAGAAAAAGTCCTCTCGAATTTCATGTTGATAGAGAAGGTTGGGAAAACATAAACAAAATAGCAACAGCTTGAAAACACTGAATCTAGAAGAGGAAGAGAGTTTTGTCCAAAGATTGCTTGAAAATCTGGAAAGCCATCGATCTAGAGAGAAAACCCGTCGGGGCAAGGGGTTGTGCCAAAAGGGCGACAGACAGCATGACGGTCGACTGGCAGCAACAGGGACGACGTTCACCTGGTCGGGCGAAAAGGTCGACGCGCAAACGGGATTGATTGACTCAGTGACTAGGAGAAATCGCTGAAAAATCAATGTCATGTGGCGTTGTTTAAACAAAAACCGTCCCTGTTTTCGCTATAAATGGGAGACCACGACCCCAGGTATGGCCCCGTTGAATTTAGTGGGATTGCAGCTGGTAGGCATTGGCTAGCTAACTTCATATTTCGGTAAGTATCTACATCATTCAGGTGGGCTGTCAGGAAGCTAAATCGACCCTGAATAATACATCGGGATTTGCCTTGCATTCGAATTTTACTTGGGGTCGCATGGGCAATCAAATGGGTGAGCATTTGGTACGGCCACTGGGATTAGAGAAGAGGGATGAGGAGGGAACGAACCAAACCCAAACCTTGTCGTTCCTTTCCTTGTAGATAATTTTATCGGAGCTTCCTGTTTGTTCGATGACTAGGACAACCTGATTCAGGGGAAGGCGAAAAAGGCAAACGGCACCTACACCCACCCAAGAATGCTGGTATATCACCCACACTCATCCCAGGGAATACTGCGACACCCCAAGTGAACAGTACGGTGCCTGTTCAGCTGTGAGAAGCTCAACATTCTCTGGGATGTCTGGGCCAATAGACAGTCGGAAAGAGGAAGGATCAGAGAGGTGGCAGCTACATCGGATGCTAGTGCGAAGGAAATTTGATCCAGCACTTTGTGCACTTTTGATGCTGTCCTAGAAGAACAGAAAGGCTAAGCTTTCATTTGGCATTCGACTGAGAACGCAATTACTCGCTCAGTTCGACTCAAAAAACCTGCTGAAAGTAATTCTGCACCTCCTAACATTTATATAATTCTCGAAAAATGAGTTTAAATGAAAGAAAAAGAAGCATTCTTATGCAGTCGGCCGCTGGGTTGCTACTATTGAAGGCCAGGGATCATCTAAACGTCAGACACCGAATAATTCGATTCAGCGTGAATGTGGTGCATTGATGTGTCGCTTCGCGATTGCACAATGAGCGAATTAGTTACCCTGACCGAGCTGTCCGGCCAGGCAGTCTAAGCGGGTGGCCCAGCTAAAAGCAAACCTTCCTGGACAGGGCGCTTAAAATGACCCATGAAACTGTGATCACTCCAAAGTTCTTGAGATACCCCACTCAGGGAAGTCCTCAATGAGAAGCTTGAGGTAAGGCGGAAAACACAAACGAAGTAGGGACCCTGCTTACTAGGCCCATTCTCCCCATACGTGGCATAGGTGAAATTTGGGCTGGGCTCGCATTCTCCCACCTAGTGGGAGAATGGGCCCAGTTGCTGAAATTATTTCCCAGCTCGGGGTCAGGTCGGATATGGGAATCATCTACCGATTTATACTTTGTATGGGGACGGAACTGGTAGAAATGGATATAAGGAGGTCGGTTGAGTTGGAGGAAGATAATTCACGACTGGGATCACGAGAAGCAGTGAGTGGGGGTTTTGAAGATAAGGAGTGGTGGTGTATGGATGTCTCGCGGGACGCCAAAGAAGCGAGTAAGCGAAAGAGTCATGAAGGGTGAGGGCGTTTGCATAACGAGCTGTCATTGTGGATGAGGGAATAATGCATAAACTAGGAAAAAGGAAGGGAACTCAAAAACTCAACCAGACGTGTACTCAAACAGAACCTGCTCCCCGGAGAATATTACTTTCTATTATTAAGAAAATTGACAGGACGAGGCCGGAGAACATCAGTGACGAAGTACTTCT